CTGCTTCTTTTTTTTCCAGAGCTTTCAGGTGTGCTGTTAAGTCTCCAGTGTGTGCTTTCTCCGTTTTCTTTAATTGGGCACTTAGTGCTATGAACTTTCCTCTTAGCACTGCTTTCATTGTGTCCCATAGGTTTGAGCATGTTGTGTCTTTATTTTCATTAAATTCAAGGAAGACTTTAATTTCTTTATTTCTTCGTTGACCCAGGGATGAATCAGTAGCTGACTGTTCAACTTCCACGCGTTTGTAGGCTTTCTGGTGTTCAAATTGTTATTGAATTCTAACTTTATTCCATGGTGATCCGACAAGACACAGGTTGTTACTAATATTTTTTGTATCTGTGGAAGTTTGCTTTGTTACCGAGTATGTGGTCAATTTTCGAGAAGGTTCCATGAGCTGCAGAGAAGAAGGTATATTCTTTCCTTTTTGGGTAGAATGTTCTATAGATATCTGTTAAGTCCATTTGATTCATTACCTCTAGTAATTCTCTTATTTCTCTGTTGAGTTTCTGTCTGATTGACCTGTTCATTGGTGAGAGAGGTGTGTTGAGGTTTTCTACTATTAGTGTGTGTGGTTTAATGACTGCCTTGAGTTCTAAGAGTTTTTCTTTTACATAAGTGGGTGCTTTTATATTAGGGGCATAGATATTCAGGATTGAGACTTCCTCCTGATGAATTGTTCCTGTTATGAGTATAAAATGTCCGTCTCCATCTCTTCTGATTGATTTTAGTTTGAAGTCAATTTTGTTAGATATTAGAATGGCCACATCCACTTGTTTCTTTGAACCGTTTGCTTGGAAAACCTTTTCCCAACCCTTTACTCTGAGTAGATGTCTATCTTTGTGGTTGAGGTGTGTTTTTTGTAAACAGCAGAATGTTGGATCCTGTTTTCGTATCCAATCTCTTAGTCTGTGCCTTTTTATAGGTGAGTTGAGTCCATTGATATTAAGTGATATTAATGACCAGTGGTTGTTGATTCCGGTTATTATTTTTTTGTGCGTGTATGTAGTAGAGTTTGTGTGTTTCTTTTCTTTGAGTTGTGGTTGTGAAGGGTCACTAGATGTCTGGGTTATTGTAGGCAGTGTTGGCAATGTTGGATTCCTTGGGTTGCGATTTTCCTTCTATTACTTTCTGTAAGGCTGGATTTGTGGCTCCGAATTGTTTAAATTTATTTTTATCCTGGAATATTTTGTTTTCTCCGTTGATAGTGAACGATAGCTTGGCTGGGTATAGTAGTCTGGGTTTGCATCCATGGTCTCTTAGTTCCTGCAGTACCTCTATCCAGGCCCTTCTGGCTTTCATGGTTTCCATAGAGAAATCCGGTGTAAGCCTGATAGGTTTACCTTTATAAGTTACTTGACCTTTTTCCTTTGCAGCTCTTAATATTCTTTCTTTAATCTGGATGTTTTGTGTTTTGATTATTATATGATGAGGGGATTTTTTTTTGATCCAGTCTATTCGGTGTTCTGTATGCTTCTTGAACCTTCATAGGAATATCATTCTTTAGGTTGGGAAAGTTTTCTTCTATAATTTTGTTGAATATATTTTCTGGGCCTTTGATCTGCAATTCTTCTCCTTCTTCAATCCCTATTATTCTTAGATTTGGTTTTTTTTATTGTGTCCCAGATTTCTTGAATGTTTTGTGAAGAGAATTTGTTGGTATTGTCGTTTTCTTTGATCAGAGCGTTTATTTTCTCTATGGTATCTTCAGAATCTGAGATTCATTCTTCTATCTCTTGTATTTTATTGGTTATACTTGATTCTGTAGTCTCCGTTCATTTACCTAGGTTTTGCATATCCAGCCGGTTCTCGTTTTGTGTTTTCTTCATTGCCTCCATTTCAGTTTTCAATTCTTGAACTGTTTCCTTTACCTGTTTGATTGTTTTTTCTTGGTTTCCCAGGGTATCATTTATGGATTTACTCATTTCTTCAAACTTTTTGTTATACTTCTCATCCATTTCTATACTCATTTCTTCAAACTTTTTGTTATACTTCTCATCCAATTCTTTAAGGGAGTTATTCATATCCTGTTTAAGGGACTCTAATGCTTTCATAATGGCACTTTTTTCCACTTCTTCTGGATTAAGGTGTTCAAGTCCTTCTATTGTAGGGTCGTTGGGATCTGGTGTTTTTGTGTTGTTTTTCAGATTGTTGGAGGATGTCTTGCCCTGGCGTCTGCCCATCTCTTCCTTCAAATGCTCTCTATTGGATCTTCTGGTACTAGGTCAGGTTCCCTTGTTGGGCAGGGACTTCACTGACAGAAGGCCTACCTTTCCTCAGGCAGGCTATTGAAACACAGGGACTCCTTTCTTCTAGGTTGCACCTACAGCCTAGGCCCAGTGCTCAAGGCAGCTGAGCTGGGGAAATTTTATGGCCCCAGGGGGAAGGGAGAAATATAGGAAGGTATACCTGGATGGAAGCTGGGATGGCAGGCGGGAGAGCTTAGCAGGGTGGAGCCACCACTGCAGGGTGCCCTGAGAGTCTAGGGGGTCGGGAAAAGCCTGAACTCTTCCTCGCCAGGCTCCTGCCGCGGGCCAGAAGCAAACTTACCCCTCCGATGGCTGTCTGCTAGAAGTTGGTGCCCCTTGCTGGTCAGGAATGTCGCTGAGCTGATACAGCTCCTTTTCTGATTTTAAGTCTTTGCTAATAGGAGATATTAGCAGAAAGTAAGTTTCACTATGGTGTGCACTGTGAACACCCCCAGTCTGATTACATCCTCCAAACTTTTTTGAGCCCCAAATGTCACCTATTTTCTTGATGACCTTCCTGAATTACCATGTACCATCCACCACAAAACAAAACCAAGCCTTCTCAATTAGGGACAACCCACCACACTGCTATGTTCAATGAGGCCTACCACCTTTTAGATCCATCCATATGAGTTTAAGAAGAAAATTGAATATCTGGTGTGTAGAAATGATGATGTCTATCCTAGAGAATTCTTAGAGAATTATAAGCACAGTGATATGGCCACTGACACAGTTTCGACCTCAAGTAGCCCAGACCCAAGTCACTAGTCTAAGTCAACTCAGAGTTTCTGATTCTGTCCTTTTTCCGACTATGATGCTCACCCAAGACTGGGGGAAAACATCCTCAAGGTTTGATGTGAAAGGTCTAACACTTCCATATGTGCCTGAATGCTTGGTCTCTAGTATCGAGTGCTGATTGGTTTGGGAAGACAGAAAACCTTAAAGCACTGGAGAGCAGCAGGAGGAATTAGGTGACTGGATGCAACAAGGGCCTGCCAAAGTCATGGAACCAGCTGCTTCAGCCTCATCTTCCCCAGACCAGCTTCCCCAGATACTCCATCTGCCATGCATTCCCTGTACTCAGAGGATGAGTACATGAGACAAGGGAGTCCTTTTGTCCTTAAGTTGCTTTCTGATAACAAAATGTTCCCTGCCTTGATAAAAATAATACAGCCCCTGTTACTAGACAGAGAAACTACTTTGGGTTACTCCTTGCTGTTACTGGTCTGACTTTGGCAGTGACATCACTTGTTCTTTGTGAGAAATGAAAGGAATGTGTTCCTAAAGAATTTCAGTGTCCTGGGCTTTATTCTGAAGCTGCAGAGAAATTCATGTTGGATGGAGAGCATTTAGATCTAACATTGGACCTGATACATTTGGGATTTCCCAGTCTCACAGATCTTGACATTGGGAGTTTTCCTTTCTGTTGTCAAGAGATTCATGTTCTACACTATCTTCTTATTCACAGAATCATTGCTGGTGTCTGAGACATTGATTTCTGCTTGTGCCCATTTGACTTTTTTTCTAAATTTGATCCTTTTTCTATAATTTTTTTTGGCCATGTGGTACTATTTCTTTTGGGGTTTTTTTGTTTTATTTCAAACCTTAAACATGAATAGTATATTCCTTGAGACTTGTATCCATACATATAGTGAGCAAGGATCATTTTCATCTGCTGTGTTATATTGAAAAAATCCCTGGCATGTACTTAATGTACTCCCCTCTTAAGAATCCACAAACACATCCACGGCTCTATATGGGCTCAGGATATCTCTGGAACTTGCACAGTACATCCAAGGCTGTGTCTATGTGTATGTCAGAAAACTACAACATATCATTCTTCGTGGAATAACATGAGATATCTCTTATGTGTTCTTAAACAGTGTTGAACAGGGAATCTCATTTCAGATAATGGGCATAAAGAACTTTATATTATGTATTTTGTGAGTGTATGTATTAGTGTGTGTCAACATGTATGTGTGTATGCAACACAAATGGACAAGTGTGTGTGTGTGTGTGTGTGTGTGTGTGTGTGTGTGCATTGTTTTGGCATCAGGATACTACTGTCATCTTAGAATGTTTAGAACGATCTTTATTGTCTCTGGTGAAGCAGCTTGAGAATCATTGATCTCCATTGTATTTAAAGAAAGCAGGTATGATCCTTCATGCAATCTTTGGTCCTGGGCTGTCCTTATAGGAAGAGTCTTATTATCTTTCAATCTTGTACTCATATAGATCTTAGCACATTTCATAAGATCCTGAATTCATCATCATATTGAGGTACAGCAGTGGGAAGGCAGCTGGTGGTGTATATTTGCTAATCTGTTATATCTCTGTTTGTGTCCACTTTGTGAATTTAGCATTCTCTTTCTCTGAGGATTGTCAACACATTGGAATACAAGGTTTATTTTGCAGGTCCTAGAGTTCCCATGGATCTTACTCATCTCTTTCCTCTCTCAAATTTCAATAATATGTGTCTTCCTTTGGGGGTTCATATCAAGGGTTGTCAGATTTGTTCATTCTTTCAAAGGACCAGCTCTTGGTTTCAACTGCAAAGTTATCTCTAGCTCTGTTCTTTCTTTCACTTTCTCATAACAGTTTTGTGGTTGGAATGTTGTGCTTTGTTTGTTTTCTGCATCTTTGACCACCAAGAGGCATCATTAGGATGCTTGTGAGACTTTTGATTTTTTGATGTACCAACTTATCGTCATAACTTTGGCTCCTAGTTCTAATTTTGCATTTTTTTCTTTCTAGCATCCTGTGGCAGAGCCATTCCCCACCAGAAAAGGTGGAGGACAAGGCAGATGAACTCTCCTGGATCAATGTCAATGATTACAGTTTCCTACCATCCAGGGAATTAGTATCGGAGTACTCCATTTCTACTTTAGTGAATACAACCTGTTCCCTCACTCATATTCTGGCTGAGGAGAACCTGGAAACAACTGTGCCAAACAGATTGCATGACACCTTGGCACAAAACGACTTGTTGTACCAGAGAAATCATATATACAGAAGGACAAGCCAACATCATCCACAGGTCTGCTACTCCAGGAGGCGTGCATTTCATCTCACCCTTTCTAGGTTTCCTTTGCAGAGGAGATGGAGTGAGCTGGCTCTGCCAACATTCATGACAGAAACCAAAGAAAAGAACGGGCAGGAGGTAAATGAAGAAACTAGCAAGGGTTTCTCTAAAGTCCAGCTGATTTATACATCAGATCTTAACTCACCTGTGAATTCTGCCCCACAGGGTGCTGATATGAAGGCATTCAACACACACAAGGAAGCAGAAAATGCTGCAAATAAAACATTTGAGGAAACACAGGAGGAGCCTAAGATGGAGGACAACAGAAACCTTTTTCAAAGATTTTTCTGCTGCCTATGCATGCCAAGGACTAAAGATACAACGTCCAGGTAATGAATAACAAAGAATGAAAATGTAGTTTTAAGGATATGGACTGGGTGAGGCCAGTTATTCCACATATGATTTGAGCTGTCTTTTTGAAGGCACTTTGTCATGGGCAGGCTTCAGCCATTTACAGGACTCAAACATTAAGGTGTCTGGAACCCCAAAAGGTGCTTTCACACTGAATGCTATTCATGAAGATACTAGCATAATTTAGACAGAAGCAGACAGCAGAGGTTGCTGGCAGGGCTTGAGGATGTTGGGAGACAGGATTTAGGAGGGCTTTCAAAGGGACAACAGTTTAGGAAGGGAAGAAGTCTGTGGAGAGCTCTGGTTCCTCAGATCAGCTTTTTGCTAAGTCTTTCTATGTCAATATCACTAAAACAGTCCTTTGTTTCTCTCTTTTCAAGGGCTGAAGATGCGGCCCTGACCCGGGGTTCCTAAACCCCGGGTCTGTGTTCAGCCTGGCTGGGGCATAACAGCTTCTGGAGCAAGCCAGGCCAGAACATGAAAGGAGGTGTGCCCCAAACCTCTACCTGTTAGACAGCTCCAGCCACCAGGGCATGAGCTCTGTACCCCTCCTCTCCTACTGGGTGCAAGGGTGAACTTCATTTGTCCCCAGAAGAAGTAGCTGGACAGAGAAGCCAGTCACATCATCATGGGCGATGATGAGGCATCCATCCCGCTCCAAGTCCACATGAGAAAAGTTAAGTGTTCCAAATGACTCTGGGTCCCCATCTCCTTCTCCCCTCATTTCCATCAACCAAATCAATGAGCACATGTAAAGAAATGCTTGCACACTTTCCTCTTAGGTGGCAAGGAGGCACAGGAAGAGGAGGGGGGGAAGGAAGAGTGGGGCAAGCGGGGCATGTCAAGGGATAAAAGCAGTGAGAGAGGGCAGAAAAAAGGGCTTGCATCTGGATGGGGAGGAGGTGATTTCTCCAGAGGAAATTCCATTCTGGCAGCAGAAAAGTAAGGGATGAATGTGTGGGTGGTGAAAGGGTCCACAAGCAAGAAGGAGAGGAATAAAATTCCCCTGAAGAGGAGATTAGGAGCGAGTGATGCTTGGGTACCCCAGAAGAAGACCCTATCTTCCTCATGGGTTCCAGCTTGCTCCCAGCTGCAGCAGATGAGTGCTGTCTGAGAAATCTGCTCTCGTCCTGAGGTGCTCAGACAGGCTGTGGCTGCAGAGAAGAGAAGCCACATGTTTTCAGGAGCCTCTTCCTCTTTCTGCTTGACTGAGTCTTGGATTGATCTGGTAACATCTGCTTATGTTCACAGCCTTCATCTTTCATGCCCCAAGGTGCTGTTGTCCCATCTAATGATTATTCAGACAGATAAATTTGATATCCCCGTGGGGAATTCCTTGACTTTGAGTAAACAGCAAGATAGGTGTTTGTACTGGCAATAGGTAAACAGTGCTTAATAGGACTGGGGAACATCACTGTCCAGAAAAAAAAATCAACAAACTGGGAATATCTTTGAGCCCAGGGCCATCATCAGGCTTTAGTTTAGAAAGAAACCTGATTGCAGAGGAGCAGATGATGGCCAGTGGTATTGTGTGCAGCCTTGTTGAGCGAGCTGCTTGCAGTCTTCTCCTGCCCACCATACATACAGGGAGCATCTTCCTGGGTCACCAGGGGCAAGCCAGCTGACAAGGTTTTCAGGGGTCTAATCTTGAGAACAGTCAGGTGTAGTGAATTTGTGTCCCATGTGCATCTCCTTGTGGTAGATGATGAGTTTCTGTATCATGGTCTTGATGTACACCAACCATCCCAATTGAGCGCTCTTCTCTGCAGAGGATGATGGTCCTGTCCAGGTCAATGGGTGTCTGGTTCTTTGTGACAGCTTATCAGTTGTCCAGAATCCACTTCCTTGGCTACACCATGTAAATGGAATCTTGACCGAGTCCTATATGGTGCCTTGCTCACCCTAGTCATAATGATAGTCAGTATTAGCATAATCAGTCATCTTTTCTAATAATTCCTGCCATTACGTTACTTGATGTTTTTTTATTATACTTTTGAACATTCTTTGTTTTATTGTTTTGATTATATTGTGCCAGGTATGATTTGTTCAATGAAGAAGTCTATTTGGAGTTCTGTATGCTTCTTTTACCTTGATAGAAAGCTCAATCTTTAGGTTAGGGAAGTTTCCTTCTATTTTATTGGAAATAGTTCCTGTGTCTTTGACCTTGTTTTCTTTCCTTCTATTCCCCTTAGTCATGAATTTGGCTTTTACATAATCTCCCAATTTTTCTGGTGCCTTGTGATTGAAATTTTATTAGATTTAACATTTTCATTGACTGGGAAATCCATTTCCTTTTATCTTGACTTCAACGTCTGAGATTTTTGCTTCCCTCTCTTATATTCTGTCAGTAAGTCTTACCTCTAGGATTCTTGTTCCAGTCCCTTACACTTCTGTTTCCAGTTCTCCCTTGGTTCCACTTGTCTCTATTGATTTTTTTACACCCTTAACCTGTTTTCTTCATTCAAATCCATTGTTTGTGTTCCAAAATATTTCGTTAACACATTCATTCATGTTCTCCTAAGGTCCTCGACCATTTTCATATTAGCTATTTTGAAGTCCTTATTCTGTGCGTCAGCTGTATTGCCTTGCTCAGGAACTACTGAAGTTCTATTGATGAGCTCTAGTGGAGACACACTGTTGGCGCTGTTTTGATTCTGTCCTCATGCTGACATCCAGGCATCTGGGCTTAGAAGAATTTCACTTCCAGTAGTTGATATCTGGTCTTGCCTGTCTGTTGGGTAGGTTTTTCCTTCCTTAGTTTCTGTTGCCCTCACAGGATTTTTGGAGGGGGTGTAGTGGCTGTGGGCTGCCTATATAGAGAATGCTCTGAGTCTCTCCCAGGTGTGGCCACTGGTGGTTCCGGATGGACAGTGTTTCTAAGTATTGGGAGCTTGCAGGAAAGAATAGGATGAGCTAGACTGGCAAGTGTCTCAGAAGATACACAAGGAGGGAGAATAGTTTGGTCAGTCATATTGATCTCTAAAGTACCAGGGAGAAAGAGGGTGAATTCACATCCCTATCCAGCACGTGATCTGGTACAGGGTTAGGGATGTGACTGGGTGTTTGAAAATGAAGGACAGAAAGGAGAGGAAAGATTGCCTATTTGCTTCCATGGTCAGCATGGTCAGAAGTGCTGCAGTGACAGACTGTCTCCAGTGAAGGTGACCAAGACAAAGGGATGGGATGAAGAGAAGGTTGAGAGAGGATTTGTTTACTTTCCCAGGAATGGGAACAGAAAAAAAGAGAGTCCAGAACAGTTGGCCTGCTTCAAAACTGAGAATAAGACTGGGGAACTGGGATTGGAGGATGGGAAGGAGATTGAAGTTCACCTACCTGATTTCCTACTCAGCACGGCAAGTGTGTTCAGGGACATAGTGTCTCTGGTGTTGCTGGCTGAGACAAAGTGGTGGGAATTGGATGCAGTGGTGTAGGAGAAAAATGATGGATTTGACATTTGTCCATCGACTAGCGAAACATACAGACACTGGAAGTGAGTGCAGGAATCTCATAAATGAGTGTCTGATCATGTATGGGGCAGACTATTGTGTAGGCAAAAAGTCGAGCCTGTAGTGCAGTAAATTCATTTGATAGGTACTGGAATCTGTTCCCTTAATAATGAATGCTGTGACGAGCCCCAAACATATATCTTCATGGTAAATCACATACCCATGAAATAATCTGATACCATTCCCCCTGGGAGAGTTAACAATGTATTATTTCCCTTTATTTTTGTAAGAGTGTTAAAGATTTCTTCTGGATGTGGCAATCTTTTCAGAAGATCAAAGGATATGATCTAGTAGAATCCAGCTGGATTCTGAGGGCTGTGTGCTGTGCTGACTGATGACCCTGTTAGAGCTCACCCTGTGCTCACTGAGGAGACTCAGCAGTGCTGTCCTTCTGTCCTGTCAGAGCCCACGGTGAAAGGAGCCAGCCATAGCTAGTGATTACTGCTAGGACTCCCCAAAACTGAAAGCCTACCTAGCTCCTCCTCAGGCTACCATGGAAGCTCAGCTTCAGCAGCAGGGCTCACAAGAGTCTTGGCAGTCTCAGAAGAAACATACACAAAGGAAGAGCCACTTCTCTGCATGGGTGGGAAAGGGGGCCTGTGACAACCTAGACTCCCAGAGATCATCTTTGGTCTTGAACTGCTTCTTTCTCACTGCAGGGCAGCGACAGGCCTAAGAGCTCTGCTGTCACCCTGGCCATATCTACGTCATAAGCACAGATCACTACTACACTTCACCACAGCATCTTATCTACCATCTGTCATGGTCATCTGCATGCTGACCATGGAAGTCAGTTCCATAGTCTCTAGTGTACAATGCAAAAATGTCAGTTATCTATTCCTCATATCTCCTTGGATGCCCCTATGAGTCAATAATAACCAATCCTATAAGAAATATTAAATGATCATTTTTCTTGTCAAATACTATAAAACAAATCTTGTCTTTCTGTCAACCCTGAACACCCCTGTGCCTTACAGACTTTCTTCCTCCATTTCTGGATGTCCCATTCTATATGCCCCCTTCTCTTCAAGTGTTAGACATGTTCTTCCAGACAGATGAAACCAATTTCCTTTCCTTGATTGAAAAAAACCGAAATATCTATACATCCAGTATACACTCCTCTCCCCTCTGCCTTCTTCACTGTTCATAATTCTTTCCCAAACTAGCCAACTGTGGATACACTGTGAAGTTAGACCTCAGATCTTGCAAATAACCACTTTCCTTCCTTTGGTCATGGATAATAGTGTTAAAGGGGATAAAAAGTACAGCTTACTGTCCAGGTATGCTTGCTCTGCCACTTCTGTGAGCATCTACTCTCCTGATTAGAAGTTGCATTGCTAAGACTCTTTAGTTGGGAATGGTGGTCTCTTTCTTTGTGTTCTCAAGACCACTTCTAACAGACTCCAGCTCATTCTATGAATCTAACTATGCATCAGGTAATATAGGCACTGCACATACCTTTGAGTTGTGGCCTGATGGTAGACCTGGGTATTACATTCGAGTTTGGCACAGGTGAGTTTCTCAAGATGACAGAGACAAGAGAAGCAGTGCAGAATACTCAGCCTCCTGGGCCTTGATCCGTCTCCACACCTGCAACAGTTTTTGTCTACACTGCAGCCTTTGGACACAGCTTCTGCTTACATTATCTTTCATTCGTTCACATTCAATGATTCTAAATGATCATAAAATGCAAATACAACATTCTTCAAGGCTATAATTGGTTTACTAATCCAAGTACTTCTCATTGAACCTATTATTTAAAGGGAATCCCATGGAGTTGGCATTGTTCTCTTTAAAATAGAAATATCACCTGTGCTTGGTGCATTTTACTAACAGAAAATGATTCTGGAAAGCTCTATGCCTCAATAGATTTCTGTTTCCTCATTATCACGTCTCATGTGGTTAATCTGTAACTAATACCTAAGCAGGCCCTCAGACCTGCTTCATTTCCTAAGTCACGGTCTATGATCCATCCTGTATTCTGCACCATCACCTCCTTTCACAACTCCTGTTTACTGCATCACTGCTGCTCCTCCAATCTGTCCCATTTCAGCCTTTCCCTGGTTCTCAGCTGTTGGACTGTATCAGCCTCAGGCAAATGTATTCTTCAGGGCCCCTTCAGCACAAGTTCAGCCCATAACATCTATCAGAGTAGGGTGTCTAATGTCAGAAGAAACAATAGGCAGCCTTTTGGTTACATATCTCTTGAACACATTGACACGTTTGCCTTAAAGCCACACATGATGTCTTGGCATATTGCCTGATTCTGCACTCTGCCTGCCAGCTGCAGACCCTGTGTTGATATTTGATCTGCATTCTAGGCCATGCTGTGCCATCTCCTGTGACTTTTATCAAGGCCTGCTTTACTACATGAACCCCCTTTCACACACAGCATCCTGAACAAGTGGTGCCTCCTCCTCTAAAATAAAGACCGATCTACTCATCCTTGATTCATTAAAGGCGACAGTGTTCCCTACACAGAATTGTTCATATTGTCAGCCTCATTTGTCTATGTTCAGGGTTTTTCACCCTCAGCTCCTGGGTTGGTCCCAAGCTCCCCTGTGTTGACTGCCCGTGTGCTGTCCCCATCCACATTATTCAGGAAATGCATCAGCGATGGCTCCACTAGGACACATGGCCATGCTCCCTGTAGTCTTCCTTTCATGGGTCTGAAATGTAAGTCTGAAACCCACCGCAGCTCTGATATAGTGAACAACTGTGGAAGTGACGGCTGCTCTGGGACTCACAGGAGTGTGCTGAGTCTCTCTCTGGAGTTTCTGCAGGACAGGTGCCCACATGCGGTAACCCTAACAGACATGGGGCCCAATGGCTGGCTGAGTCCTCCGATTTGTGAGGAATCAGCAGCAGCTCACTCTCCTGTGGATCTGAAAGAGGTCTTTGCACACAGGCCTGGGTGTTTTACCATCTACTTTATATTCCATGGGAGAAAGTAATTCACTTCACCTGGCTTGCTCTTTCAGGCGCCCACACTGAATCAGCCACTAGGAGGAGTTAATGAGAACTCATTTGCTTGACTAGCACCTCTTCTTCTGTGAGGTCCAGATGATGAGATAAAGAGACAGCCCAGACAGAAGACCCTGGTCTAAGAAGAAGGTGTGCTGTGCGTGCCATGGCTTGGACTCCCCTCATCTTCATTGTTCCATCTCAATGTACAGGTACGGACAGGCCCAAGAGTGGGGAGAACTCCAACACTCAGTCAGTCCCTTCTGGTTGAAATCCCCAAAATGCTGTACCTCAGCTCTGCTGTTCACTGTGGTTTCTGCTTTGGCAGGTTCCTTTTCTCGGGCTATATTGACAGAAACACCCTCCGTGTCTGTGCCTCTTGGATCAACAGCCAGACTCACCTGCACCCTGAGGAGTGACATCGGCATTGGCGACAACAACATTTACTGGGACCAGCAGATGCAGGGGAGCCCTCCCAGGGTTTACCTGTGCTGCTGCAGAGACTCAAACATGTCACTGGGGCCTAGAATCTCTATTACATTCTCTGGATTCAGAGAAGCCTCAAAAAATGTTGCAAATTTGCACATCTCTGAACTATAGATGAAGAATGAGACTCAGCACTGCTGTTTTATCTGGGAAAATAGTGTTTCCCACAGTGATACAGGCAGATGGGCAAGTCGCCATCAATAGTAGCTTCTGCTAAAAAAAAAAAAAATCAGTTCTGGCAGAGTGCATGTAGTGGCCACAGGGAATGGAGCAAAGAGGCTCTGCCAACATCAGCTGCCACAGCACCAGTTCTAAACAGTGCAGAGGCCCGTGGTATTGGTGTTGATCACCCAGAAAGATGCCCCCACCACATGGAGGGCAAACTGCATACAAGCATCCAGAAGGGTAAATATCATAAGGCACACGGGATATACCGGATGCTCTTCTTCAGATACATTTCCAGAAACAAGCATTCAGAATCCTGAGATCTCAAGTACTCAGGGGTATTTCTCTTCTTCGGTCATGGCCAGCAGAGCAGTGCAGGCTGACCTGACCATGCTGGTCCTCACATCCCTGGAGAAAGTAACGATGTATATAGCTGATGAACTGTTAGAGAACTGTAGAGCCAGCTACAGTGTTCAGTTTGATGGACCTAAATTCCCAAGAGCAAGTAGTGTTGGTGGCCAGAGCTCTGAAGTGGTCCAGTGGAGGATCTGAGAAACTGGGCCATTCTAGGTTCCACCAGCCCCTCATGCTGTGGGGTCTGCAATACTACTGTAAGTCTCAGTATTACTTCCTGCCCTCTCCTGAGGGCAAGGGCTGCACCAACATGACAGATAGGTACTCCACTATGCAAGGCTTCTGAAGCGGGTGGGTGAATTTGTGGCCCAGACTGTGTACAACTGTTTTTCTGTTTGAAAAACAAGAGAGGTGCACAGGTGGCCTTTACAGGGTGTGCACAGAAGGTCCTGTCCATCGAGGATCAGACACATTCTTTCTATCCCTGCTCAGCTTCATCTGACAAGCTGACTGTGCTCAGTGAGCACTACCTACTTCCCTACATCGGGACCCCATGTACAGAGTGTACCTGGACAGGGGAGCTGCCAAAGCAGACCTCCTCCAGAGAAGGCAACCTGGGAACAAGCTGAGCAGCCTGGTGGACTCCTCAGAGCAGGAGGATGGGGACGAGTGCTAGGATGACAGAAGCCTCATCAGCCTGCACAGAAGCTGCCTGGTCAGCATGGAGATGTCCGTGACCAGCACCACTGGGATGGATTCAGTGCCAGGCTGGGCATGAGGCCCCTTACACAGTAGGATCCTGTTCCAGAGCTGGAGGGACCACCTATTTATGGATGGAGGTCAAGGACTGTGTGGTCAGAACCAAGAACAAAGCCCAGCTTCTGCTGGGCACCCATGTTCCTTTACATCTCCCACAATAAAGCACAAGTCCTGCTGCAATCCTTGTCTCTGGTTCCTTGTGGAGGGCTCTAGTGGGACAGGCAGCCTGGTATCAGTAACCTGTATCCCTTCCTGTGTGTCCACTGTTGCCATGGCATGCCAGAGAAGTGGTGCTCACTACTGGGATCCATGCAGGATCCGTAATCCTGCACATGAGAGCGCTTTCTTGTTTGATTTCTGTTTGGACACAGAGTTGTTTTGCAATTGAGCTGAGCTCCTCAGGGACAGAATATGTTCTGTGGCGGCCAAGCACCTTAGAGGTAGAGATCAGTCATTCAAGCTACAGCCCTTCTGGTCTCCATGAGCCCCACGCTGCTGCTCTGCAGAAGTTTTAAAGGGTGTAGTAAGTTTTCATATCCTTCAAGTTGTAGTATTTTTTTCTGGGTGAGTAATTTTGCAATCTAATGTTTTAGGACTTAACCATATTAACAGTCCAGGAATGAGCAACCAACTCTATTACCACAGATAATGTCCACGCTACCAGTCTACTTTTAAAGGGAGACACCATATTTTTCACAATTAAAATAAATAAAATTTCTCGATTATAACACCTCTAATCTGCTTGTGAAGGAGGCAGATATGCACTATTTTCTATAAAATGGAATTTAAAGGAAGGTTTATAACATCAGTTGATTAGTTCTCAATTTTTTTCTAAAGGTCTGTTTACATTTTAGATCTCTTCGTGGTTTAATTTCTCTGATCCAGATATATCTAGAATTTTACCCCTTTTATTAGGGTTTCCTGATTCATAGATATCAGAACTTTATAACCTTGTCATTTTTTTTAAAAAAATTATTTCTTGAGATTATACTTACATCATATGCCCTTTCCCTTTATTCATCTCAATCCCTCCCATGTATCCTGCCTGGTTCTCTTTCAAACCATGGCCTCTTTTCTCACTCTTACACATATTCATTTATATACACATATATTCCTATGTACATAAACACAACCTGATCAGACTATATAATCTTTCTTGTATGCATGTTTTTAGATTTGACCATTGGTTTTGGGTAGCCAATAATAAGTGTATGCTCCTCATGAGGAAGACTATTTCTCCTACGCTCAACATTCTTTGGTTGAGGTGTTTTGATTTAGGTTTGAGTCCTTGTGTTTTAGCGAGTCCATACATGTTGGTGAGACACTTTGGGAAATGCTTCTGTTTTTACTTGGAGGCACAATCTCACAGCAAATTCCCTGATTATCTGGCCCTTACAATCTTTCCACCTCCTTTTACTCAACTTTCACTGGGGTGTGGGAATGTGGACTACACAACCCTGTCATTTGATTGATTGTGGTTTTGTGTAGTGGTCTCCATCTGCAAAGGGAAGTTCATTGATAAAGGGTGATGACTATAGTTATCAGTGAGTATAAAGACATGTTTATAGATTGTTGTTACAGATTATTTTCGTTTAGTGGCTATACATTCTCCTATAATAACCATAATTTCTCTAGGATTGTGTAGTTAGGCAGTTTTCCCCTACAAGGTATGGTATTCCTTTTGATGTATGGGTCTTAAAATCAATTGGAGAGCTGGTGGTTACCATTAAGGGATGTTTGTCAATAGTGCATCTTTAGGGTTATCATACCCTGCTGGTTATTGTTGTGGGTTCATAGGTATCAAGCTGGGTTAAGATTGTGTAGGTTGTTGCCTTCCTTTGAAGCTTGCCTGACTTCATCTGGGACCATGGAAGTTGGATATCAGAAAGGGAATGTTTGGGTCAGTTCAGATAGCAGGTCTCAGGGATCTTTTTCTGAAGTGCTTGGTGTCTTCACCAATAGGGAATTATCACACTAATTTTGTTTGTGAGAACAAAGGACAACATCACTAGGCTGTATGTTTTAAGAGTCTCTTGAGAGCTCTGACCAACAACTCAAAAGAGGGCTTCTCATATCTGGCACTGGCACCTTAGTTAGGTGGCCTTTGGTTCTTAGGGGAGCACAGCCTTGCATATGATAAAATCTCATTAACACTATTTCTATATATACTGACTAACATGTATATTTGTGTGTGTGTATGTGTGTTTAGGTAAATAGTTAATAGTATGATTCTTTGTGGATTTTTTAAACATTCTTATAATTGATTAACCAACATCTCTCAGTCTCCTCTTCTCCCCTTCTCTAAGAAGTCCCATGTTTCACATTTCTGCTATCAGATACCTAATATTCTATTTTCCTTTGCCCTCCTCACTGTATTAATCTCCCTCTATAATCAGCAATCCTTTCAGTGTCTCCTTTGTGGTCACTCTCACCCTGACATTACCCTCTCTTTGGCTCCCCAACCACATTCTTGTGAAGGAGATAACTACCCGATCCTGGTAATTAGCTCTATTTTATTTAGCAGAATATGTACTCACATGTGAAAATTTGGACCTAGGAGCCTCCAATAAGAGAAAACATGTAATGTATTTCTTTCTGTGTCTGGGTTACACAGACACAGAAGTTAGAATCTTTTCTAATTCCATCCATTTACCTGCAATGTGTATGATGCGAGTTTTCTTTATAGCTGAGTAGTATTCCATAGAGCACATGTATCACATTTTTGTATCCATTTGTCAGTTGTAGGACCCTTGGTTGTCATTTCCTAGCTCTATGAATAGGACAGCAATGAGCATGCCTGAGAAAGCATCTGCAGAGTGGATGGTTGAGTTCTTTAGGTACATGCCATGGAGTAGTATAGGTGTGTCATCTGGCAGATATTATTTTTTGTTGCTTTTTGAGGATTCTCCTCAGTGATTTCCAAGTGACCAAACCCATTTTGAATCCAGCAGCCGTGGATGTGTATTTAGTTCTTGGAATTACCATCTTTGTTCTCTATCCTAGTTTGGCCCATTAAGTACTACATACAGCATTTGACCACTTTTCAAAAGTCCCAAAGTCTTCCACATAAAAAAGTAAAACAACAAACAAACAACCAGACCAAACCAAACTAAGATTACAAGTTTAGATCTGTCAGCAGCTATTAATACCCCCACTCTCTGGCACTAACTTCAGTATTAGTTATTTTTCTATTGCTGTGATAAGTCCAAGGTAACTCATAGAAGAAAAATTGGTGTCAGCTGAGGTGACTGAGGAAAGCCTTGGTGGCTAGGCCTGGGCCTGCTCCCTCAACATTTCAGGACCTGAAGGATCTGCATGGGCCCAAAGGTGATGGTGGGAGCCGAGGCATGGAGGAGCAGAGAGAGGCCAACTCCAAATCACTGAATTGAAAGTCTTGGGAGTTGGAGCTGTTGGAAAAGCCAAGCCTGTTCTGGAGATACAGCTAATTCAGAATCAGTTTCTGGAGAGCACAACTGAACCAGCAACCTGGGCTGGAGTAGACCTGAGACAGCAAACTCCACTAAAGCAAGTATAGGGGAGCAACCACTGAATGAGTGGACCAGGGCCAGAGACCTCTACAGGCATGGGCATGAATCTGGTACCTTCAAGGAAGTATACCTGAGCCAGGACCCCTGGTGATCCAAGTGTGAGTATGGGACCTCCAAGGAACTAGGCCTGAGTCAGAACCTCTGTGGGTCTGGCCGTGAGTCTGGGACCTCCAAAGGAGTAGGCAGAAACCAGAGACCTCTGCAGGTCCAGACATAAGTCTGGGACATCTGACGGAGTGGGCCTGAGCCAGGATCTCTGAGGATCTGGGCATTGGTCTGGGACCTCCAAGTTGGTAGGCCTGAGCCAGGTCCTCAGTAGATTCAGGTGCACATGGGTCTGGGACCTCCATGGGAATAGATCAGAGCCAGAGACCTTTGCAGGACCAACCCCAAGCCAGGGACTTCTGCAGGAGAAGATCCAGATTAAGGACACTTACAGAAACAGGTCTGAGCCAGCAACCTAGGCCAGAGAAGTCCTGAGTGAGTGAACCCCACGGGAGCAGGACTGAGCCATTGACCTGGGCTGGTGCAGACCTGGAAAGGCTGAACTATACAGGAGCAGGACTGAGCCAGAGACCTGGGCCAGAGCAGGCCTGAGGCAGTGAATTCTACAGGAGAAGGACTGAGCCAGGAGGCTTTGCAACCTCTGGGACCACGGAGTGACCAATGGAAAAACTGGAACCATAGCACTGAGTGCACCATGAGGAACAGCCATCTGAGCCTTGGATCCACAGGTACGTGGAAGATTAATCACCAGAGTCACAGACAGCCCCAACTACACAAATTAAAGGAAAAGATGAGTAGACAAGGTAAGAACACAGGCAAAACAACAGAGAACAATATGACACCAGTAAAATCTAGTGACTCTACAACAAGACTTGAACAACCAAGTATCAATGAAGTAGAAGAAAATGACCTAAAAAATAACTTCAGGAGAATGTTTCAGATGCTTAAAGAGGAAATGAGAAATTCCCTCAAAGAAATGGAGGAAAAGACAAACAAAAAACTGGAAGGCATCAACAAATCACCTAAAGAAAACCAGGAAAAATCAAACATATGAAAGAAGCTATTCAAGACTTGAAAACTGAAATAGAGACAATAAAACAAAAACATACAAAACTATAGAAGAAGTCATGAGAAAACGATTCAGAATCACAAAAGCAAGCATAAAGTGATGCATTAAAAACA